GCCGCTTTTTTGCTGTTGTCGCTCATCTCTTTTTCAATACCTTCTGCTGCGTTTGGGTAATGATTCCTCTGCTCCCCCTCAGGCCCATTCTCACGTCGTTCACACATCGTCGTCTACCTGCGCAGTTTTTACATTTAACCCAATGTGCTTTGCAAAATTTTGATGTGTGGTTTTTCTTCGTACAACGAAAACATCGTCCCTCCTTTTGCAATACCTTCTTCTTGTCGGCAAGGCTAATTGTGCTTCTACAATTCTGTGCGTTATGATTTGTTTCAGGCAATCGAAAAAATTGTATTCTCATTTGCTTAGGTAAGCATTTAAGAATAACGGATTTTACGGTGATCGTGTATTGAGCTGGGGTGACCTTCAACGCGGACAATGTTCGAGTAGTTGACATCACCTGTGTGTGCTCCCCGATTGCTCGTTTAGGAGGTAAAAGGGATTACTCCCCCTCCTAGGACATCCAATGTTAAAGGGAGTATACAAAATTACATGCTTATACACAGAAGCATAGGGAGCAATGGGGAGTATTCGTATACTCCCAAGGGAGTACTCACCGAGCAATCGTACGATGCTCCCAAGTTCTACTGGGAGTCTTCACAATACTTATCTTCTGGGGTAATGACTTGCGTGGGGGGGAGTTCTTCTAACTACCAAAATCTTCTTAATTGAGAATTGAGGTATTCGTTTGAAACTTGAGTTGTGAATACCGATATTTTTTCTTTTATTTGGCCGCTCAATATCCATCCAAAGATGGTATTTTGGGCTATTTGAAATTTTCTCAATGCCTTCTAGCATTATTTGGGGGATTAGGTCGCTGCCTAATAGGATATCAACTTGCGCGGGGGTGTGGCAGTTGGGATCCGCAAATTTTAGGTGGGCAAATTTTTGGCGATCTTTGCCATTTACTTTATAGCTTGGAAGCATATTTGTTAGTTGCGGCAGAACTATGGCGTGTGCCTCTATTCTTACATCCGCATTGGGGGAAATCAGGGTTAATGAGCAGATTTTATTAGAGTTTTGTATTACTCTTCCACCCATTCCCGAAATTTCAAAGTTTGAGTTTGTGGTTGGGAGTTTTAGCCGGTTTTGTACTTTTGACGAGATAAACGATCTTTGTGTGCCTTGATCGATTAGAGCTCTAAGCTTGAATACTTCTCCTCGATGTTCAATCGAGACAATCGCGGATGGCAGTAAAATTTTGCTTTCATTTTCGGAATGAAGCGCTTGTATATTTGCTGTTTTCGAACAGCATGGTTTCTCGGTTTCGTTTTCGAGAATTTCGGGGTGTTCGGGTCTAGCTGTTGCAACTAGCCCTGTGGCTCTTTGCGAGTTAGAGCTATTTTGGGGGGTAGAATTATTAATGTGGAGCATCGAGTGATGCCTCTTTTGGCAGTATACACAATTGAATTTACTTTCACAGTCTTTTTGCATGTGAGAGTTTGAGAAGCAATTTGTGCAAAGTCTATTATTTCTAGCGACATTATATCGTTCGGTTGTTGTAAGTTTTCTAAACTTCACGCAAGATCTTAACGCGTGACCTCCTTTACAAAATTCGTATGACATACGTTTGTTTTGTTCTGCGATGAACGATTGAGTTCTGTTGAAACTTCGATTATGTAAATTATTGTTACTGGCTTGGGGTCTATTGTAGCTTCTATTGAGGTCGAGCTGTGTATTTTTCGGCTTTGATATTTTTCTATCTACCCTTTCTGCGATTTCGAATTGGGTAGTGAGGAATTCTTTCATTTGTTGCCACGTTGGGCATTTTTTCCGGGATGAGAGCGATTGCTCCCATAAGAGTAACGATTTTTCTGGTAAAGTTGCAGCGCATACGTTTACCAGAATAGGGTCCCAACTATCAGTGGGAATGTTTTGTGTCGCGAGAACCGACAAACAGTTTGATACAGTGGACTGTAATTTCATGAATTCTTCGCTTGTCCCCTTTTGAATTTTTGGCAAGTTCATTAAAATCGTTATTTGATTGTCGACCATTCTCATATCGTGATTTTAATGCTTCCCAAGCCAGATTAAAATTATCGTCACTAAGAGCGAATTGTTTTACTATAGCGCCTGCTTGACCTTTTGTTTTGTATCTGAGGTGATACAGTTTTTGCGCTTGAGATAACTTTAGATGATTTATGTATACGGCTGTAAACATGTCCCGGAAGGACGGCCATTGTTCATAACCTCCATGAAATACTTCTGTATCACATGCTGGCACTTTAAGATCATACATCTGAACTTGCTTCTTGGATTTGTATTTGGGGCAGCTCTACTCTCAGAGGTGGAGTAGGTGCATTTAAAGGCTTTATTAATTTTAGTTGATCGGAAATCATAGCCTTTGTTTCTTCGTATTGGTCTAAGCAATTTTCATATTTGGCGTAAGCCGAGGATTTAAAATTTTCAGGTAAATCTGAATCCTCAGTTTCAATTATGGCGTCATAAGCCGATTGGAGACGTGTCCAAAAATTATCAAACTGTGGGTTTTTACTTCCAGGACTGACTCTGAATTGTCTTGGATAGGGGCTGCGGAAAACCTAGTGCAGTATCTTATTAGACTGTCACTTTCCGAAATAAATTTTGCGGCCGAAAAGTCTTTGGTCTTTTTTTGCTTCGTACCCTGTTTTGAGCGTGTAGCTTCTGCAGGGGTGCTTTGATGCTTCGTCAACCATTTTCGGTAGATCTAGCAATTGAGGTGTTTTCGGTTCTTTGATGGGAGACTTGTTCGTTTGCATTTAAATGTGAACTCGAGAATTTATAAAATTGTTTTTTTTTTCTATGTATTTTAATACCCGCGAATGATGGAATAATATGAGTGCCCGTATAGTCGATCGGATTTTGACTTACTTTTCTTTATAGTAACACAATGTATCCGCAATACTCTCTTTCGTGTTTTATTATTTACGTGCTTATGTATTATTTATTTTATTTATTTTATTTTTTTATATTTTTTTTTAGCTTTTTCCGGTTTTTCTCCGTGTATACTGCTTTAAGCAAATAAATGAGTAACCTTCGATTAAATTAGTCAGGTTACGTATCGCCTTTTTACTTAATATAACCGCTCTTTTATTATGGATGTTTTGTAAAGACAAAAACTTTGGTTTTTATTTTGTCCCTTTTTTTCTAGGTATACGAATTACAGGTAGTGAGCTGTGAACCCGATCAAATTAATTTAATTAATATAAAGAACCGCACTATTATGGTTTTTACCGCACTTTTTTAACAATGTAAATGTTATGTAGATATATACGCGTTTTGGAGGTTTATTTAATAATCCCCTATTAGGATGTATAATTTATTTGAAAATCTATTGCTTTAAAAATCTATTGATTGTATAATGATCGTAAGCCCTGCACGTCGCTGGTAGTTTGACTCTAAATTAAGAAGCTTTTGTACGTATTTCTCGATTATCTTTTCGGTATTTCCGTACTCATCTTGTAGCAGTGCTATGGCTTCAGAGTAATATTCCTCTGTGGGAGTGAATCCTTGAATCGTTGATGAAGCCCTGTCAACCAATGCTTCGCTCAAAAAGTTAAACTTTGCTGCTGATGAAAGAAGGGGGTTATCATGTACTGTTGGATTGAATTGCTCCCAGAAGGGCAACCATTTTTCGAAGCTTCCGTCGAATTTCTTCAGCTCAAGAGATTTGAGCTTAACTCCATGAGACGATTGCTCACCAGCGCCATTGTTGGAGGTATTCATAGTATGCTCAAGTTGGTCTGCTAAACTCTTTTCGCGCGATTGCAACTTTGCAATAATTGAGATCGCCTTGTCGTCACAGTCTAGCACTGACTCGCATTCTTTACCCATATCCTCCTGTTTTATTATTTTTCTCACGGCTACGTCCATTTTTTTTTAATTTTCATGCGCATTCCTTAACCTGTGCAAGAGAGTCCCCACGTTTTCAAGCAAGGTTTGTTTTTCACTTAATTTGGAAAAGTCTGTGTTTTCCAAGTACTCAGTAGCTTGATTAATAAGCTTTGTTAGCTGACCACGACAAGTAGCCCGATGGACCGATTCCATTTTTCACCTTACAATGGCACTTCAATATTTGTTACCACGGTTGCTCGTGTTTTATGTAAATTTATTGTTTTAAAGAATATCGTCTTTGTTTTTCCTTGAGCTCACTATAAAATGCACACCTGGTATAGTTTACTGAAATTCGCTATTTTAAACTAATTGCCCGCTCCCGGGTTTCGGCACCATATGTAAAATTAAGAGCCCGGATGGGAATAAAGTACCAAAGATGCGGTTATAGTGGCATTTAATAGTACTAAACTCTTAAGACTAATTACAATTATGTTATACCTAGTAAGGCTGTGTCTTATATCGTGTTAGGTGAGAGTGAGTAAGTTAAATGTAAATAAAATGTGTTTGTGTTAGTGTATGTATGTTAATCTCGTATTTTGTGATTTTCGACACCCCGAAAGCACAATCAGCTCGTCGATAATACCGGATAGGGCATATTTGTAAGCTTTTTCGATCCCATATAAGGCAAGTTTTCCTAGAAATTCTAAAGGAAGTGGTAGTCAAACCCCTCTCGTTCGCGCGAGTATACATAAAATCTCCTAAAGGCAGCTTACAAGTAGCGAAGGCATACCAATGCGTTCTATTCCCGGCAGAGTCTGCTTGGTTGTAAACCCCTTACCTTCTATGTATATCCCTTGACCGGAATGAACGGCTCAGGGTAGGAGAAGACCCCACGTACTCTACTCTTCATTTTCGAACCATCTAGATGCATCTGTGGAAATTAATATACTACCGTCTCTCGCCAAAGGAGTGGAGAGAGGACGCCACCTTGTGGTGTGCCGCTTGTCACATATCTTGCAATCGATTTCTCAGCGACATTTGCCGTTCCCCAGATAATCGTTCACCTCCAGTGCTCTCAAGGCCTGTGTTATTTGCCCAGAATTTATGTTTTTCAAAGGTTCTTCAATCTCTATAAAGACAGTAGTCTTTTTAACTTAAGGACTTTTCAATAAAGTCTATGTAGCGCGATCTCCGCGGACTTGATTTTGAGATAGACATGTGGGTTTTTAGACAGTCGGTCAGTGGTGAAAGATAATTTGCTCTGGACGGAAACATTTTGCTGGAAAAGGAACGTTGAAAAAGGAGAAGAAAATTGCGCAATGCGTTTATTTGGCCAAAACTAGGAACTACTTACACAGATAGTTCATCGAATTTGTGGAGCGTTTCTCTACCAAGGGCGATGCACATCTAACTCCATGTACTCATATTCAACGAAAACAGTTCGATCTACGTCTCAAGTGGCGATGAAGACCACTCTGGGCATGCCATTCTTTTCCATTTACTAGACTTGCTATTTACTATCTTGCACCATTCCAAGTAAAAAATGTCACCAATACATTAACCTATACCGAGGCTCCGGACCTACAGATGGTTTTAAAAATAAAGAGTAAATGCCATGCAGACGAACTCTCTGAAACCCCTGCTTTTACAAGTTAAGCGGAAGGCTAGTGCCGCTACAAGGGCAGATCTAGTGACAGAGATCAGAAATAACCAAAACATATTTCGCTTTGGAAGTATTTTACAGATTTTACACGGAAATCGCACTATAAAAGCTCTTTATTAGTGTTGGATTCTGATTTGCCAGCGCCTGAAGCTTTTTAAAGCTTTCTACTTATACATTTTTTATATAGGCGCCCATATTTTATCTAAACCAGAGATGGGCAGAGAGAGCTTTTACTCTGCACGCGCCTTTACAAAATGTATAGAAAGCTTAAAAGAGCTTTGCCCGCGGGCAAGGCAGTGCCCATTGCCGATCTAAACCAGTCACAACGAAAAAAATAAAAATTTAAAGCTTATAAATGGAGCTTTTTAAAGCTTTTCGTTCAAGCTCTCTTTGATCGTATCTGGTCTAGAAACATACAGGATATCGCGTTCACTATGGGCATCGCTCAATGAATGAACTATACGACGCTTTTTGCAGCGAACATGCATATGGCTGCGCACAGGAATGCTGACGGGTCACTGAATTATACAAATTCTTCAAATTCCTATGGTCTCTAATAACGATCTCAGTATTCATAAGACTCCATCCAGTCTAATGGAAGTCAAAGGCCTAGATTTCAGATACATATATAATTTTTTGACACCAGATTCTGTCAAACAGATAAAACATGAGATTCAGGAAGAGCTTAACCATGCAAAAATATTTAACACAACAGAAATGGCACTAAGATATCAACCGAAGTAAAAGGAAACCGACTTAATGATATCAAAGTTGACGGAGAAACCAACACTGGTAGCACTACGTCGACCTCAATATGCAGATAACTACATATTTATCTACGGAATACTTTTCAAAAACGCCCTATTTCAGAATTAGATTGAAGAACTACATAGACGGAGGTCTGTGAGTGGCAGCTGATGGTATATCCACCTACTCTGATGCTTCAAGGGCTGAACAAGCAGCGGTACCGGTCTCTACTCAGAGGAAGCTACCCCTTTCCTCCTATAAAGGACTGAAGCATCTTCCGAGCTGAGACGTATGCAATTATGAAAGCAAAAAGAAATGTGATTTAGGCTATAAAGAAGGCAACTAGGCTTCTAGTGAATACCTGTGTTCCATCATGAAAGGCTACTATCTTCATCAATATTTAAGGGACTTTGAGATCAATAAGTAGTGAACTTAGGGGTTTTATCTTCCATTCCATGCCACATAGGTCTCCTCAACTGTGTTTTTGGAAAATATAATATCAGGGAAACAAGGTAGCGTATGAAGTGGCTACGTATGGCTCTGAGTTACGAATAAGAGATACAGACAACTCTGTACAATCCAAATTTAGAGATCATATGAAGGTAATCGAGGAATAAAATGTAGCCTTTGCAAGGAGCTTATGGACCAAAAAGGATGATCGCGAGATTTCTAAGTCATTACGAAAGCAAAAAAGCGGCAAATGCTATACAAGAATTGCCTCGCTGAGAACTAAAGGCATCAGTTGACCACGTTTTTTGTCCATGCACGGACAGTCGAAGCGACTCAGACAGCAAAAGCCACGATCCTTCCCTTGTCTAGAAAACACAAAGAAGGTGGAACGCATCTTAATTTTATTTTGAAAGATATGTATTCCAGTCGGCTAATGATCTGCACTTTCTCTTTTTAATGTCATCCCTGTGTCTGCTTATATGTTGCCGAATCAAAATATGGCAAAATCCTCACCCATCCTCCTAAATTTACTATAAGAATTTGTACCTCAGAATGAAGAATGATCCTGAATTGAGCTAAATTAGTGATTTGCATGAAGAAATTTAACCACTCTCGTTTATGGAGGGCTACACAGACTAATATGCACAGCCCGCAGTAGCCCAAACAAGCGCCATTGGCGTCAAACTATTTATAATCAACATTTTTGTTACTACCGTCCTACATTATGTCGTCGTTGTTTTTGTAACTCCAATAATGCTCGAATATTTGCTGTTACTTGTTGTTTAAATGGCCACCAACTAGCCGGTCAGCCAGCCAGCAAAACTCAGATCGCGCAGTGTGGTGGCGTTTATCGTTCATCGACAGTGCAATCAACGCACCGGGAAAGGCAAAAGCAACATCTGTAGTGACATGACCAAAGGCAACGAAACATCATCAGCATATTCAACGACTACAAACAAAAGCAACACGACTACAGCAACAACAACACCAACAACAAAGTTCACATATGTACAACATCCATAAATCGGCAACAATTTTCTCTAGTTTCCCGTGCAAATTTGTGTCAGATTAAAGTGAAAATGTAGCTGGTCTTATCCAAGGGTGCCATGCGTAGCTTCAATTCCTACTGCTATTACACTGCTGCTCTTGCTTTTATTTTCACTGCTGTGTTTGTTGTCTGTGCCCGTCTTCCAATACATTGCCGCCTGCTTTCATCCATTCATTCATCCATTTCACATCAGTACATCAATTTCCATTTTCTCATTTTCCCCACACATAATTTCATTTGCTCATTCTTCTCTTTCACAGATATCCCATCAATCGAGACATTGCCGACGATTTTCTAACACAGACTTGGCTCATCATTTTACTGGGTTCCATTATAGCGTTAATTGTGTTTCTATTCGGCGCCTTTGTCCTCTTCAAACGCTACCAATTCATTAAGCAAACATCGTTGGGCAGTTTACATGGTAAGTAGCATATAATACACAAATTTAAGTGTCGTGCTCTATATTTCACATAATATCAAATCGACAGTACTGTGTGAAAATTCGGAATCCTTCCTGAATCAGTAGTAGTACATTGACAAGATTTTGTCCGCGAAGATCCTTATTAACAAACTGGTATACACTCCATTTTCGTCGAGTTTCCACAAATAGAAGAAGAATCTGCTGAGCTAAGTTGGGGATCCTTGCAAAGCTCATACGATTAAGCTCAAACCGATCTAGGAGACATAGTGGTAGGGAAAAAAACAAAAGAATATTGTGCCAGGGGATATTTCCATCCCGCCTGTGTTGTATAATAGTCGACAAACTTGCACACCTCCACAGCGTCGTATGTAAGCAAACCAATACTAAATCATGTGGCGGGGAATAGGGTCTTGGAAACACCGTATCCACCTTCGAAAGCATGTGCAATTCCGTTCTACGGCATGGATTAGATTTTGTACTGGTAATGTACAATATGTTCAATGCTGGTGCAACGGGTCATCAGGATTCAGTCCGAAGGAGGTCAGGTCAATATGTCACGCGTGGAGTGGTCTCATTGCCTTCACAAAGGAGCCACAATTCGGACTTTTCCCGAGGTGAAGTATCTAGGAGTAATTCTGGATAAAAAACTATCGTGGAAATCTGACGTGTAACACAAGACGTCCAAAGCATTGGCAGCAATTTGGCAATATATAAAGGTTTTTGCCCAAACTTTGGGTCTGTCACCAATGGGAATCCTCTGCATTTATACCTCTATGATCAGACCCATAATCAGCTATGTAACAGTGGTATGGTGGGTGGGACTCTCAATCAATAGAATGCGAAGTCTGCTTGCTAAACTTCAAAGAACTATTGTCTGGTACTGCTATTGACGCACTTCTGTACTTACCGTCAGTTAAAGCTGCATTCAGGGCATTGGCCTGCCCTCTAACTACTTCCAAACTAGTTCGCGATCCAATATCGACTAATCTCGTTTGCAAACATAACAAGCTTGCTTTACTCTGGATATCATGTCACTTGGGGGTGTGCTTGATAATGAGATATCTGGCCAGAGTTGGCTCAGGCTAGGCATTCTTCGGTTAGAGCACTCTCAATTCGACCATCGTAGCCACAATCAGAAACTGGGTATATACTTCGCTTAGATTTATTCGTAAATCGTTCAGATTTGAAGCAGATTAAAAGGGACATGAGAACAGTATAATGGACGACATCTGAGTACTGTTTTCTGCACGCGTTGTTTGGCCCCTCGTAGTACGATATGTAGATAGTAGTCAGCCTAACGTTAGAAAGATTAGGTTAGATGAGTTATAGCTAAAGAAGCCGTTCAGACCCATTATAAGGTCAGGTAGTTTTGTCCTTTCATGTCAGTAATCCAACCTGGTAAATCCTCTCATGAATTTTTCTACATCTGTCTCGTTCGCTCGAAGAAGTGGGAGTCAGCATTTCGGTAAGATGCAGAAAGTTCGATCAGAATTTAGTATTTGTATTACTTCTGATTATGTAGGACCTAAATTTCTAGGTGTCAGAAATATATCGGTCAGGTAGCGGAATCTTGTGGGATTTGCTCTGCTGAATGTGATAAACAGCATTCCGCCATAGAGCGAGAATGTAGTGGAGCGACGAAAAAACATATATATGTCAATGTACCAGCACATAGGGACGAGTAACGTTATGCTTGGAGAATCGGGAGTGCCGTAAGTAACAAGACCGTTGAACGTACGGCCTCTTACAAGAAAAAAGCTCCGTTCTCACCACGAAGCTCCTCAAACGACTAATATCCATTCCTGGAAGCTCCTCGGGAGTATGAAAAAATATGACGCAAGGTGCTTGAACCTTAGGTACGCAAATGCGCGGTACCAGAGCAGCAGGTGTTGAGAGCATTTCACCCTATCGTCCTCTATGGCGCTCGTATAAAAGGGGTCGTCGATGATATTAAGCCGTACCGCATGCTTACCCATTACACAGTGACCAGTTACGACTCCCACCACTAGCGAGAGGTGCAAGTTTCATAGTCCCAAGAGCTTCCTGGACCGCCCGCGGTCTACGCGTCCGCTGAGCTGATCCAACACCCATCTGTCCAGAAGTAGACCACACGAGGTCATGGCAGAATCCAGACTAACTCTGCCTAGGAGCAGTTCCTCAAGGGTTCCCTGTCTTGCCAGCTCATCGGCCATGCAGTTGCTAGCTATTTCACAGTAATCCGGAGATTAGCTTAATAGCACAGTTGTCCGATGCGGTCGACAGGGAGGTCAATCAATCATTCACCGTTCACGAACAAACTATTAGAGAGCCAAGATACTTAATATCTGCTTGGTTGTCGGAATAGATATGCACCTCATAGAAAGGCATTACACTAGGGAGCAACCAATCCGAAGCCTACTGTATTGCGGCTACATCTACCTGGAAAACGCTTAAATAATCCGACAGCTTAAATTTCAGGTCAATAGAGAGTTTTCCACCTACCTTCCCATTGAGCTAGGATCCATCTGTAAATACGTTTACAGGACCCCGATTCCAGATACCGAACCCCTCCCCAGTTCCTCCCGCTGGGGTATGCATGGCAACGATCCCTTCGGAACCAAAATCCGAATGCAGTGGTCAGTTCGAGTTGGAAAGAATTCAAAGGGATTTTAGAGTAGTGTCCATAGCCCGAGGCGAATTTTAAGCCCAACCCACATAGCGAGAGTAGCGGCCGTTCTGCCTGCCATATCTATGAGCACAACGTCTAACATAGCATTAAGCGCCAGGGTATGAGTGGTTCGAAGTGCCCACTGATGCCACTAATGGCTGCTCTTTGTACTCCTTCCAGCTGTTTAACGATGCAGGCCTTGCCTAGAGCGTTCCACAAGATGCGTACCCCTTAAAATAAAATTGGCTAATTTATATTATCATAAATCGAATAAACTACTTTCAGTGAGAGACCCCATCGCTTGCTAATGGCCAGCCTACAATAAATAAGGTTACTGTTGCCTTCTTGACTCATTACTCTACGTTGGGCCTCCAGGAAAGCTTGCTGTCAAGCCCAAGTACTTCGCCCCGTGAGAAAGCTTTGGTGGTCCTCCGACCGTCCATTGAGGGGAGATGGCAAGTTGGTACCTTATACCTCCTATTAAAAAGTACAAGCTCTGTTTTGCTAGCGTTCACAGACATCCCGCAATGAAAAGCCTAGTTTTCAACCAAGGTCAGATAACCCTGTACAAGCTCAAGCAGTGTGTCCAGAAACTTTCCCCGTGTTAACAGTGCTACATCGTCAGCATAGGCAACCACCCGGCAGCCACTTCGCCCCAGAGCCACCAACAGGTCGCTCTGCGCTGACTCCTAAGGCAGTGCTTATGGTACTGCAGAGTCGAACCAGTTGAAAGCAGAATTGCGAAAAACTACGCAAGTAACTATTTTGATTACCATTTAAACAATCATGACTTGGCTCGTAATTATGAGTTAAAAGATCTGGGCGTTATATTTAGTTCAAATTTCCGCTTCAAAAATCACTATGATTATATGATCGCTAAAGCGAACTCTATGGTTGGCTTTATCAAAAGAAACAGTCAGGAATTTAAGGACCCTATGACCATTAAGGCGCTTTATACATCAATGGTTCGTAGTGTCATCGAATACTCTTCTATCATTCGGAATCCATCTTACTGTAGTCACTCAAATCGAATAGAACGGATCCAACGTTCCATAACTAAATATGCAATTAAAAAAATGAAGTGGACTAGTGATCTTCCACCTTATGAGGCCAGAAGAAAACTGCTAGGGTTACAGTCCCTATGCGATAGGCGAATATCCAACTCCATTTTTTTCAAATATTATCCGGTAAGATAAACTGTTCTGAACTTTCAAACTATTTTCCTTTATATGAACCGCCCATTAATCTGCGTAGTAATAGATTTTTGGTTGATAGGACCCACAAGGCAAACTATATAATTAATGAACCAATTAATAGGTGTATACGATTATGTAATAGTTTTAAAGGGATGTTAGATTTTAATGTTAATGAGTCAGAATTAAGATTAAGGCTCTTTGTATTATTCAACTAAACTTATACACCTAAGTTTAACTTGCAAGCGTAGTCTGTAAGAAACCAATGTTTTCGGTAGACTGAAATAAATAAATAAATAAATAAACAACTGCAGGTAGTGCAGAGGGAGCCGATGGTGATTACCGCCTAAGCAAGTAGTCCATCGGTAATCGACGGAGAAAGGACCCTCCTTTCGGGGTACCTCTCGGTTCGGAAAACTCTGTTTCTCTGCAGGAGATTCCCAGTAATAATGCCCGATTATTTATTTAACAATTTATTTATAGTAACTATATTTTATATGGAGGTCCGCCAAAAAATACCAGAAAATGCAATGTGGTGCCCAATAAAAAACCTTTAGTATTAAAAAATGGATAAATGTACAATTGGATATTATTATTGGAAGTCTTATGAAGAGAACCAGAGTTTTCCGAACGAAAAATACTGATTTTAATTTTTTGTTTTTTTGTACAATTTAAAGTTACCAATTAAGTCTTCTTATAAAGAACTAGGAAGTAACTTTAAATTACAAAAAAAAATCTATACAATTTTTACCAAAAGTTTTTTCTTCCCATATCAAATACATGGCGACCTCTAAAATTTTTTAATTTCAAAATAAAAAACGGTATATTTTTCGATATAGAGCATCGAGATTTCGACTTTACTTTTTCGAATGCATTTTTGTAATTATTGGAAGACACGTAAAAAATTCATTAATTATGCGCGAAGTACAAAAGAAGAAAACACTGAAAGCAAATAAAATTATACCAAACCAAACAAAAGAGCTTAGCAAATGAGGCGAGTTGATTAAGAGGTACACATTAGGATCGAAAAAGATACGCTGCAAGCGCTCGAAGTACACACAGCAAAGGCAGGTAGAACAGAAATGATAATAAATTCTCGAAGTGCAGAAGAAAAAAGTTTAAATGATAGATTTTCTCAAATAAAAAATGAACTGGAATACCAAGAAGGCTTAAAGCACGCAAAAAATAGACAATTTTGAATATCCGCTGCCACGGCGGCGGCTATCTAAATGAGCTTGTAAGAAAGCATTTGTTGCAAATATATGCATGTAGACGACCTACATTTACGTAGATAGCATTCTAGAGCCTATAACTCCCTTTCCCATTTTTTTCTGCGTTTCTAATGCTCGTTTATTTATATCTGTTTTCTTGCTTCTTCTCCTCCCCCATCTTATTACAGGCAATCACGCAATTGGTGCCGTGCGAAAATTCCCTACGCTACCTTTGAATGCGAATGGCGTCTGGATCGATCCGACTGGTGGTGTATGGCATCAAGCCAGTAGCTGTACGACAAAGGACCAACTTCCGGATTACGCACAAGTCACGGGCCAGCAAACGTTGCCATTACCCGACTATGAACGGTAAGTTATTGCTGCCTTTTATTTTGGTAATATCAATACAAAGAAAAACGCAAACGAAGGCAGAAGCATGCAAACACAAATACACTTCGACGCCATTATAAGCGCGAACTGCGTAAGCAAAGTTTGGCAATCGCTGCACGGCGGAACGTCAAAGTTGCCCCTACCCATCCCAAAAGTAACCAGCAAATTAGTTATCTGTTGTTTAGGCAACAAAGAAAGAAAAAGTGTAGCCTACGCTTAGGTGCCCCCTAGCGCAAGCCGATACCACGTGATGTGCGTGTTGCTAATTATCTAATAAGTAGTCTGCTCCTTTGAACTTCGGACTAAAACCTGTGGAACTGTCAAACTACAATTTTACGCTCTCAACGCAAAAAGCACTATTTCCTGTAAAAACGTCAAACGGTTTGTCTACATGTCTTGATACTACACTGATTTGGCTGAAATATCACTAAATAATTATAAAATCTATACATATTCAAATATTTCGTTGTTTACTTCCATTTTTTAACAAATATAAGGTTCTTTGCTTTCACCGCTTTCTGTTTTTGTTTGCACAAGTAAATCAGCTGATCGTTTGACACTTTTCATGAACTTACAGGAAAAAAAAACTCCGGACTAAATCCTGTAACTTCTGACTAGGAACAGTTGCTCAGTTACTCTCTCAAATGTGTTCCCACTTACAGGTTTTATGTCAATAGGAACGACTTCCTGTAAGTTCTGACTAAATCCTGTAAACCAAACTGCTATTGGAACAGACTAAAGGAAATACTTAACTGATTGTAGTTGGCCGACCCGCGACTACTTGCGTTCTCATTCACCTACAAACATTCTCCCACTCTATGCAATTCTTCAGACATTTTCCCTTAATTGCTGCTTTCCAATTTGCATTTGCCGCTTACCAGAGTTCGAAGCGTTCCCCTAGCTGGTTGTTTCGCTACGGTTTTTATACTTCGCAACTTGTTATACCCGAGCGCACTTGTGCACAAGGGTATATTAATTTTGTTCACATAACGGTTGTTTGTAACAGCCAAAACGAATCGAGATAGATATAGACAAATGTATACATAAATGATCAGGATGAAAAAAGAAATCGATTAAGCCATGTCTGTCTGTCCGTCCGTCTGTCCGTCTGTCCGTGTACACGATAACTCGAGCAAAAATTGAAATATCTCAACGAAATTTGGTATGTAGGTATCCCTTAATCCAAGGTAGGTTGGTATTGAAAATGGGCGAAATCGGACTTTAACCACGCCAACTTCCCATATAACGGTAATTTCCAGAAATACGAAAACTGCGATATTTTAGTAACAACTGAAGATACTACTACTACTGGAGATTATTCACTCAAAATTGATATTTATAATAAGTTTTAGACGAAAAATAAGAATATTATAAATTTTTGGAAAATGGGCATAGCCACGCCCACTTATGGTTACATGTGTATATCTTGGTAACCGCTGCACCAATTTCTTCCAAACTTGGCACAGTTGTTGGCCTTGGTACAGCATAAAAAACCGCCAAAACTTTTTAAAATCGGACAATAACCACGCCCACATCCCATATAACGGTAATTTAGAGAAATACAAAATCTTCGATAAATCCTTAAATAATGAAGCTAATTTATTCAAAATTGATGTTTGCAACAATTCTTTACCAAGAAAAACGTTTATGGTAAAATTTTGGAAAATGGGCGTGGCACCGCCCACTTATGATCACATATAAGTATATCGGTAACCGTTCTACCAATTTGTACCAAACTCGGTATAAGCAAAACGTTGAAAATTATTGAAATCGGACTAAAATAACGGCCGATTCTCATATAACGGTAAATTTAAGAAATGCTTGAAACTTCAATATTGAAGGACGCTAATTTACTCAAAATTGATACACCTCGGCTTACCATCTAGCGGAAGGTTTCGGAAGGGTGAAAAAACATATATTTAATACTTGTGCCGGGTATTTAATGTTCGGCTCCGCCCGAACTTAGACTTTTGTTTTTTTTATTCTTTCTTTTCATTAACTATCGCTTGCCGGAACTTTTGAAAGTTAGTTCTCGCTGATAAGCATTTGAAAAGTTTCCAATGCAAGCGATAAATTTAAATGTTATTGCGTTTTGGTTAAAGTTATCTTTTTTATGGTTTTGTTTTCTGTATTTCTTAACTATTTAAATGCTAATGTTGCACAACTAAGAAATGTGCACTTTAAATACTTGAAAAAGATTTTAGTGGTCCGCAAAAGTTGAAAAATTAAAGGGGCGTTGGTGCCACGTACTCATGAAATTTGATAAGCAAAAGACTGTGTACGAATTGTTAAAGCATCAGGCGATTTAGTTACTTACATAAATAGGCTAGGAAATGACGCCGAACTAGTTCCGAAATGTGTCTAAAATATTCTTGAACTCGTCTCGAGATGGTCCAGCACTAGTCCCAAAATCTTAACCCCATAGTCCAGAACTAGGCCGGAAATGGTCCTGAACAGGTCCCAAAATGATCCCAAACAAATCCTCAACCGGTCACGAAACGATGTGCATACAATTAAACCGGGTTGATCTCCATGATAAAGTAACAAGTTTGTTATCTTTAATCCCCCCTAGTTCCATAGTTTACTGGATACTCCATACCGTTCTTAATCAGTGGTGGGCACAGGAGACCTCGAAGTTCGCAGCAGGTTCCAAAATGGACATTGGAACAAGGTATGGTGTCTTTCTTAACAGCTGACTTTGAGAGAGGCCTATAGACTCCCAGACTACTGCAGCTACTGGCAGGCTGAGATGCCTTACCCGTGAACCTGGTAAGTTTGAGCCACACATTTCCATTAAAATTCACTTTTGTTATAGATAGTTAAACTGCTATCAGGGTCCACTTCAGGTGCAGACAAGTGCTGGAGCATGGGATCTTAGATAGATTAGATGGATAAGATTAAAAAAAGTCTTTCATATGACAAATGAAAGGCAATTGGCAATGCAGTTTGAAGGTTATTTTAGCACAAAAGTCTTAGAAAACAAGCTCTCTCATTCACCACTCGTGGTGAAAAGCAATTTTTAGTGATATCACTTATATATCATTTAGCTCGCGACACTCCAACAGTCGCAATGGCCGAGTGGGCGGAGTACAGTCGTTCCAATCGAGAGATCCGTGTTCGAGCCCTGTCACAGCGGAATTTTTATATTTATGTATATATATTTTTTTTTATCTATATTTTTTGTATTCTTTTTCAATTTAATTTTTCAAAATTTTTACTTTTAAAAAGGGTATATATATTTATACCCGAGCGCACTTGTGCACAAGGGTATTATAACTTTGTTCACATAACGGTTGTTTGTAACAGGCAAAACGAATCGAGATAGATATAGACAAATGTATACATAAAATAATCAGAATGAAAAAAGAAATCGATTAAGTGGTGACTGTCTGTCTGTCCGTTCGTCCGTCCGCCTGTGCACACGATAACTCGAGTAAAAATTGAGATATCTTAACGAAACTGGGTGTGTGTACTTTTTTTCAGCGTAGGACGGATGACATTGAGAATGGATAAAATCGGACAATAACCACGCCTACCTCCCGTATAACGGTAGATTTCAGAAATACGAAAACTGCGATATTTTAGTAACTATTTAAGCCAATTCACTCAAAATTGATATTTGCAATGATTTTTAGACGAAAAATAAGGATTTTATAAATTTTTGGAAAATGGGCGTAGCTACGCCCACTTATGATTACATGTGTATACCTTGTTAACCGCTGCACCAATTTCCCCCAAACTTGGTACGGTTGTTAGCCTTGGTACAAGATATGAAATAGCTGAAAACTTTTAAAATCGGATAATAACCACGCCCACATCATATATAACGTTAATTTGGAGAAAAACGAAATCTTCGATAAATCAGTAAATACCGAAGCTAATTTATTCAAAATCGATGCTTGCAATATCTCTGTGGCACAAAATACGTTTATGATAAAATTTTGGAAAATCGGCGTGGCACCACCTACTTATGATCACATATATGTATCTCGGTAACGGTTCGACCAATATGTACCAAACTCGGTATGGTTATTGTGCTTGCCACATAAAAGCAAAACGCTGAAAATTGTTGAAAGCGGACCAAAATTACGCCCACTTTTTATATAATGGTAAATATCCCTTGAAAAGAAGTAGCATTATTATGCAATTTTGGAAAATGGCGTGATACCGATATTAGTTTATCGAAGATGTTTGAAATAGGGATAAAACCACCCCTGCTTACAACGTAGCGGTAGTTTTCGGAAAAGTGAAAAAACTATATTTGATACTTGCGCCGGGTATCTAATGTTCGGCTCCGCCCGAACTTATGGTTTGATTATGCATACTTCGCATAACTTCGCACAACTTAGCAGAATCTTCAAACTGTGATTTCCTATGTACTTTGTATGTATTTTGTATGCATTCCATTACCCAGAAATTAGCATAACTTTGATAAACTTAGCGATCTGTTGAGTTTACATTTTGCTTCACATTTTCTTAAGTTATATTTCTATTGTACTGGTGAAAATGGTTGCGCGAAGTTATGCGAAGTATGCATAATCAGACCATTAGACTTTTTTTCTTGTTTTTATTTTAATTTAAGTTTTAAAAATCTATTTTATGTATATCTTTTCTTTTTAATTTAATTTTCTTTAATGGTTTCGTTGTTATTGTTTTAAAAGGAATATTTTTTAATCTCATTTGAGTTTAATGACCTTTTTATTTTTTTGATTTTTTAATATTTTTTTCAGTTAAGTTATTTTTTTGCAAAAAATAAAAATATATATTTTTTTTAAATTTCATTTACGTTTTGGAAATTTATTTCATTTATTTTTTCTTTTTTTTTATTAATTAAGTCTGTTATTCCTTTGTTAATTTCATTTCTTTTTTAATTTTCTGACTATTGTTTTAAAAAGAAAAATATACTTACTTTTTTATTTAATTTGATTTTTATGATCCTATATTTTTTATTATTTTCTTTTTTTTGGAAGAACTTTGCATTAGCAGATGTTTCAATTAGTCTTTGGAAAGCCAATAAAGAGCTTTCAAGATAGTTGCTTGAATTGACAATTTCCATACGGAAGATTTTTATCTTTCAAAACATCGTGGTGAATTGAAAGACAGTTGTCAGAATTGTCCTGTTAGAGGTAGTGGGTCAAAGCGTATGGCCCTCCTTACGATTCCATGCCAAATCCGAAGGCCTGCATATCGACGTCCGTGAAAGCCGAAATAATTGAGGAAGAGACATAAAATCTATTGGGCACTTGGCTCGTACTCCAAATTCTTTGTCTCAAATTTCTAGAAAACCACTTCTTCGATAACTTAAGTAGCCTTATCGAAATGCCATTAGAGTTTGGCAGATAATCAGGATTATTTGAAGACATACAAGGGCAGGTCTAGAGAATAATTTGCATTACACATTTAACTTTACAGACGCACTGTCATGTCTACCTCAGATTTTCCAGAAGAGCAAAACAGAATTTTGCTCAGTATCTGCGTCAATAAGCGCCTCTATTATCTGGGTTACTGGCCATAGAATTATTGACGCCAATGAGATGGTGGATGAACTGGCGAAGGCCGGAACATACTTGAAGGAATCCGAGGCTGGATATATAGACTTTCAAAAGAAACTCTGGCCTGACTAGACCTGCTTAATAGGCCAAGGATATAGGCAAACATATAGCGATGATGGAGTTCCCATGTAATAGAGCTTGCCGCAGCTGATAAGTAAAAGGTAACGAATAAAGTGTGTAGCACTGCCTATTGTGAATGTCCATATCTAGCAGCTATCAAGTATTTTCAGCAACTGATACAATGGATCACGTCTTAATTTTTAGATAACGCAGTTGTCTGGTACTCAGTTTCTTTCCTGACACATCAGATTGGTAGATCTGAAATTACACCTTCCAAAGTTTATAAGCTATGGTTCTCCAACTCAACCAGGGACCTAGGGAATTCGAATTTTTTATCTATCTCTAGTAGGCGCTAAAGTCCCTAGGATTGCTCGAGCCTTGAAACACCCCAGTTACGGATTGGTAAGCATAACCAGCTAATCGTTTTGTAGCTACCCTGCAGTAGAGGGGAGCGATTACAGGACTGATAAATCGGTAGCTACCAAGTAAACTTCGTCCATTACCGATCGACTACTTCCCTTGCATTCCAGCGATTATTTTTACATGACAATGTCCTAGGCGATAGTAACTATCGGCTTTCTCATTACTACATAATACACAGTAATTAGCATCGAAATCAGGTCGCGGCGTTTCGCCGACTAAATAAATGGTCTCCGTTCAGCTTTTTCGTGGTATTACAAATGACAAACTCCACCACCACTTTAAACTAACCTAACCTAAGTACAAGACAGAATCCTCTATGCTTCTTTCATCATTGGTACCGTTCATTTCGAAGAGCAGGTAATTATCTTTTTTCGCTTTTTGAAATTCTAAAATACAGCACTAACATAGTAGAAGTTTGTTGTTTAGGAATTCAATTAGTGTGAATTTATTCTATTAAATGTCTTCATTTAACACGATTTATTTTGCCTCTTTCCTGCCATGGCGCTTTTCCGTTTCCGCGCGCATGCATAGCTACCAAACCTACTCTTCTCTGCATGCATTGCAATAAAACCGCTGACCATAGACGCCTGTACCGACGACGCTAACGAGCAGCTGTTCCACTGCCACTGTAGAAGGATTACCAGCGACTTAATGTGCTATTTAAGAGAATGCAAAAGCAATTGTATGTGCAATTGTGTGAGTGTAACTTTGCATGACCAGACCAAACAACGCTCATAAATACTCAATCATATTGCCAAAAAACAACAACAATTTCCGGTAACAACAAACCCCCAACTAGTTGCGACATGCAAGCGACTAGAACTCCGGTGGAAAATTCGGAATGTGGGAGAGGAAAACGGGGGAAAAAATTAATGAAATGCCACAACGACATGCAACAAAACAATTGAAGTAGCTGCATATGAATTGAACATGCAACGTTAGTTGCAATACGTCGCGTTTTGCGGGCGCTGTTTGCATGAACTTATAGCTAGTGTTGTGGTAAGGCATGCGCGCCCCTTTCCAATATTTAGAGCTCGCGCGCGTAGGTGGGTGGGTAACATAAAATGGTATAATGTATGTATGTAGCTATATTTGTACTATGCATTTCCGTTCAAATGGGAATGTTCGCTCGTTTGTCAGGAAATAACAGCAAAACAGCAATGAAAACCAAAATCCATCAAAAACACCAACACACATGCAAACACTTGATCCAGCTCTATCCACTTGATCAAGCTTTAGCTAACTGAAACTCTTTTCCCCCCACATTTGTTCTTCTCTTCCTACAGCCTTACACCGCTTAACATGCCCGATTATGCAGAGGTTGCATGTTCAACATTCAAATCGCCGAACGGGGCGCTGGCACACGTAACGCCAAACGGAAAAGCACATGCCACACGGCAGCAAACATCCGGTGGTAATGGCAACAGTATGCCAGCGCTCGCTGGCAATGCGCTCTATGATAGCTGTGGCGCGTATGCAACAACAAATTTGGTCGCAAATGCCAAACTCTATCAGAATCGCTATGGCATCACCAGCACTGCCGCCACCACCACGACGACGACGGTGAAAACGACACCATTGCCACCAGCATTGGCCAATGGCAAGGCAACACGCCAACTAAACAATACCGGCAACAGTGGCAGCAACAACAATAACAACAGTCCAGCACACAGCAAGCACGATGACTATCGCGCCGCTGGCATGTATTCTGCGCCAGCCAGCGCCCACTACGCTGGACTCATCGATTTGGCTGCGGCCAATCCCTTCAATGACAAAATGACCACCTCCACCGCTTCAACTGCAATTTTAAGCGCCTCACCCGCGCGCAGCGTCAGCCAACAAGAAAGTTTCGCTCTCCAATGCGCCCGACGCGAAGAGCCTCTATGGCGGCAGCTGCGCTGGCAGTCAACAATAAATCAACATTACCGAAAATAGACTGGATCTCATGAGTAACCAAAGCCGCATCTTGCCCACACCCACAAATGGCTCGTCCGCCTCGTCCGCCTCGTCTGGCGCAACCGCGTCCAGCTCCGCGGGTAGTGATAGTGTTGGTGCGTCGTCAATACGGCTTATGCCACGCCTGAATCCCTTCAACACCAACGCCCCCATCGCCAATAGCAGCAATGTCACCTCTAGCGCTAATCAACGGCAATTACAACAACAGCAGCAGCTGCTAGCCGCCAGCAATGCGCTACGCCAAGGACTTGGCGCCTTTGCCAACACCACTTTGGCCGCGCAGATGGTAAGCGGTGGTAGCGCGGGCACTTTGCGACGCCAACGACATCCGAAAATGTTCAAAAGCGAAAATATTCAAAGGCGCCAGCAACAATAAATCACAGCTGCTCATCAACCACATTGGTGGCGGTGGAGGCAGCGTCGCTGCTGGTGGTAGTGCAGGTGGCGGCGGCAATGTGTTATCGCTAAGCACCGCAAAGAGGAGCGCCGCACACTTTGACTTTCTCACAGGCGGCGATGATGGCGAAGCGGCAGGCGGTGGCGGTGTTGACTACACTAACAGCAGCTGCGCTACGGCCAACGACTTTGGCGCTGTACTTAGCACATCAACGAATCAACTGCTTAACGATTGGACTTCCAGCGCCTCCATAGCCACCGAGAAGCAGTCGCTTGCACACTCACACATCAGCAACTCACAACCAACCCACCAATCCCAGCATCAGCATCAGCAACAGACAAACTACAATCACAGCTTTGGCAGCAAGCAGCCAAGTAAGCAACATTTGTATGTGAAAGCGAAAGATGGCTCATGGTCGGCCGTATCCTCGGATGCATATCAGTCCTACAAGCTGCAGCAGCAGCAGCAACAGCAATCGCTAACAGCAGGTGATAAATCACAGCAACAGCTAGAAAAACAACAGCATTCAACTGCAAGTCATAATAGTAATTTTAATGCTAGCAATAATAGTTGTAATATGAATAGTAGTAGTTTAGCAGGGGTAGCTCAGAAAAGCCCGGATAGTTGCTTGAATGCATATAGCGCCTCGCCGCAGAAGAGTAGCGCCGCTAAGAATATTATTAGTAGTAATTATAGTAATACGCCCGCCGCCGACCACCAAACCGAAACCCAAGCACTCACAGTCTCAGTCACAGCCGCCAACAGCACACCCACACACCCGCAAGCTCAGCTAAGCATTACTGCTACAACAACAACGTATTTTAGTAGCTTCGGACCAAGCGATAGGGTATAAGGTCTCAATTAATTGTAATTCTCACTCATGAAAAAGTGCTTTGGTAAGTAGCGTTTGCTTTTCTAGGCAGATAGTGAGTCACTAGGAAACTTATTGCAGTGCTAATAAGATGGGATTATTAAGCAACCGAAAGCTAAACTACGTTAAGTAATTAGCTGCTAGGAGAGTTTACTGTACTCTATAAATATGCAAAATATTATATTTAGTGAAAAAATATGTAGTGGCTAGCCCAGGCAGAGGAAAGAATACGTACAGAATAACGGCTTAGCTAAACACTAAAGAAGAACAGTATGCTGGCTATGTATAGCTGAATATAGATACTTTATGGTGTTTTGGTGTTAAAATCGTTATACGTAGAAACTCACAGGAAACATAGTTTATGGAATATATTTGTATGTACTTTGTAGAATATTTTTACACATAAGGCAACGGCTAAATTCGTCGATCGAGTGGAAGCAAAGAGAAATCTCATGAAAAATTAAGAAACGTGATTTTTAACATATTCATGTGTTCTAATAGCTCATATATAACGAAATAGTATCCGAAGGATTTTTGTAATAAAACGTTTAGCGTAAGATCTATAAACTTCGATTGCCTAAAGGCAAAATTTCGAACAGTTTCTCACTCAACAAAGCTAACCTTTCTCAAAGATCAAATTTTTTCAAGTGCTACCAACGTGGACAAAAAGATCTTGCTAATGTGCAAACATTATTCGTCTTCATATTCCAATTTATCCTTGGATCAAGTTAAGGAATTTTCTTAGCTGTTCATACTTTTGACATGAACTTCGAACGTTCCTTAAGGACATCAAAATATAAGATGGTCAAGCATATACATACAGCCTTCTTTGTTATTAAGCTTGAGCCCTTGGAACCGAACAGAAACGTCAAAGCGTCAGTCCACGATTACCTAATTGGTATCTCTAAGCGATATCTTTGGTTAAAGCTGTTTCTTTACATACTTCAGCACTTGCTGTTACAGGTAAATGCTAGGAATATTCTAAAAATTACGAGCAATAGTTCGAGCTGCACTTTAGTAATTGCCTTGTTTTTACCGAAACGAAACAGTCGGTTTGTGGAAGTTATATATGTAGTTTAAGATCCTCGATGAACCACATTCAACAATAACGATGCCCAAAAGCTGTGCTCAGGTGCAGATTTATGATGCCTTTCTCCTTCTTAGTCTGCGAGTGCTTATCAAACAAACTAGTGGTACTCGTGGTCTGATAAAAACAGCAGCTTATATCATCTTAGCCCAATCGTTCACCATCTGCTTCAAAGTCTCCTTATTCATTACTATTCACCCACTAAGGTAGGCGAAAGAACTTCTAAATAGGTGGCTAGGAAGCCAGAGAACTAATCACACTCCACAAGACTAATTTGAGATTTATTACAGGACTGCTAACAGGTCACTGCAGGCCGCGGGCCCATATGCATACCCTAGGGATTAGCGCAGACGACTCCTGCCGCTACTGCGACAGGGTACCAGAAACCTCACGGCATCTCCTCTTAGATTGTGTTACGGTGGCGAGAGGAAGGCTATCACTCCTGGGAAGGCTGTGGGCGGAAGCTTCAGACATACAGCGGTCGATACTGGTCGGTTTCATCAGAGCACTAGGCCTGGACGAGGTGTTGTGATGAGCTCTGAGGGCACACATAATAGACCTAGGGTCGCAGTGACAGGCACTAGGCAAGATAGCTTGAAAGATTATGTTTATTCTGAGACGAATGTTTTACCAAAAAAAAGCTCCCTCTCTTCTCTTTTGAAACCACTTATATATCCTTTTATTCGGAGCGCTCAAACAGTCGCAATGGCCGAGTGATCAAAGCACTAGCGCGGCGTTCGAGGGGTCCGAGGTTCGAGTTCTCGAGCAGCGGGCTTCTTTTATTTTTTATTTCTTATTCTTTTTTTCTATAATTTTTTTATTTATTTTATTGTTTAAAAAATATGTATAAACATTTTTTTAACTTCAACAACTTTTTATAATAATATTTTATATAAATTTTTTTTTTAGATTTAAACATTTTTTTTATTTTATTTAAATTTAAGAAGCTTATAATTTTTCCTGCTAATTCTTTTTTTATTTTCTTCTATTTGTTTTTTGTTTTCATTTAATTTTTGGATATTATTGTTTAAAAAAACTTTAAATTTTAGAAGGAACATGTATTTTTTCCCTTTAGTGTAATTTTTAAAATTTGATTTGATCTTAATTCAAAAGGCAGTTTCTTTTACTTTTTAAGAATATATATATTTTTTCTTTTATTTTAATTATTATTTGTCCATTTTGATTAAATTTACTTGCCGTATTTTTATTTTAATGCCTTTTAGGGTTCGTTGAGGATTTTAAGCGAGTATTTTCCAAAAATTTTCGGCAACTAGCATTCTTTGAGATTTTGTCTGGCATCTGCGGGATCCACTTGAGATTTTTCGTGATTTTATCTGAACTTTTAGGCACAGCTTCGCTACCTCTGAGGAGTTTTGGTGGTTTTTCGTGTTTTATTTGAACTTTTCAGGAATATCAGTATTTCTTTTTTGAAGTATCATACCTTTTTGTTACGATAGACATGTTGTCCTTTCTTCTAAAAATTGGTTTTCCAAATTATATCTCTTCATACAGCATGCCACTAATAAACACCTAAACACTACAATTTCGAACTGTGAATACTAATAACAATGAAATATACATACATACATGCATACATCTATATCTATACTAATCTATAGTAATTATATAAAGAGAAGTCCCTTTTTTTGTAACAGGTAATCCCGCGAACGGCTGGTCTGATTTTCATGAAATTTTGTATACAAATAGCTTTCGGTAACCACCATGTTTTAGGCTAAAAAAATTATACTTTTTTTCGGGTAGGTGGCCCAGGGACCAGTCTATTCGAAAAATTTTTATCATAGTCCGATTTGCCTAAAATTTAGTACGTAAGTAGCCTTTTAGCATATATTAGCATATATGACCCATTTTTTCCGGGAAGTGGTCCAGGGACCGATCTATTCCATTTATGGTCCGATTTGCTTAAAATTCGGTAGGTAAGTAGTTTTTTAGCATATATTAGGATATATGGTCCATTTTTTCCGAGAAGTGGACCAGGGACTGATCTATTCGAAAAAATCGTATTTACGGTCCGATTTGCTTAAAATTCGGTACGTAGGTAGCTTTTTAGCATATATTAGCATATATCATCCATTTTGCCCGAGAAGTGGACCAGGGACCGATCTGTTCGAAGAAATCGTATTTATGGTCCGATTTGCTTAAAATTCGGTACGTAGGTAGCTTTTTGCCTGGATAAGCTTATAGATTCCTGTTTTCCAATTTTCATGCAATTTCGAATATAAATAGCTTTAAGTAACGACCATATCAAGGGGCGAATTCGTCACTAGGCAAGATTTTTTTGCGCCAATCAGAAACAACGGATACTGTCAAAATATAATTATAATATATAATATATCTCAACTTATATATATTTAGAAAGCCGTTTGTTAGTTTTCGCAAGGCTCGCCAGCGGCTGAACCGATTTTTTTGAAGCTGCCATCTGCCGCACGTGTCCCAGGGATGGTTTTAGGCTGAAAAATATCTATATGTAAAGGGGGCGTGGCACTTCCCATACAAACCGAATTTCTCATGCTATATATCTCTAAAAGTGTGCATGATAGAGATTTCGAAATTGGTATGGAGATATACGAAATCAATCGCATACCCTTGGAGAAAAATTTTAGCTATTGTAAAAAGGGGTGTGACATCTCCTATACATACCGAATTTTTCATAATGCTTATCTCTGGAAATTTTTTGGTAGAGTTCTAGAGTTTTGTATGGAGATGTACGAAATAAATCGCATACTCTTG